GATGGTACTGCTGTTTAACCAACCCAAATAGCCAGAAGTCATAGATTGAATAATCAAAATAATGAGATTGGCTCTAAAAATCCTAACTGTTTTTCACTATTTTTCTGTTAACTTGCTTTCTAGGTTTCAAACGTTATTTCTCGCTTGCTTGGGGCTTTTGCGATTTCCTTTGCAAAAATAATTTCAACATTCCAATGTGTTGCACTTGTAGAAGTGTGAGTCCAGAGAGTTATGTGTGCATGAATACCTGGGAGTGGGATCCTGTAAGGGCCTGAATCTTGTATTTCCCCTTTCAGAGACAGCCAAAGGATCCTGAGGTGTCTCAAGTGATTCTTATAATGAAATAATTGTTAATCACTTTTACCTGGGTACATAGCATGAGTAACGAGATATGTTTGGCTTAATAAGTTATGAGCTATTGTTTGCATTGTGCCCTTCCCTGTTTCTTGCTATAGCCCTGCTGAGCTGAGTCCGTTCTCCTGCGCGAGACCTTTTAACTCCATTGATACTCTCAGAACGGGCTGCTCTGGCCATTTCCCTTCCTGCTTACTGATTTTTGCAACAAATATTTCCCTTCTCCTTCATATCCTTTGAATCTCAAAGAATAAAGGAGAAGAAAAGAGAGGACCTTTAAGAGACACTGGTGACTTAGCAGAATGCAATTTTGGAAAGGATTTAAGTGCCAAGGTGATGTAACCAGAGAACCTGAATCAAAGAGTGCCTGGGCCACCACAAAGGAGGTCAGAATTTGCAGCAAAAGCCATTTGTGCTTGGCCTGAGAGGGGGTCTTTATAGCTGTTTTTATCTTTTCTTTTCCCTACTTTATGCTTGTATTACAAGCACTCCTCTGCAGTAACAGCCTGCAACAGGAGACATAACTGGCAAGCAAAGGAACAGCTCTCTTATTACTTCACTGGTTATGCCCTGACAAATTCCGTTAGTGAATATAATTAACATGAGGCTATTCTTTCCTTGTCCAATATATAACATTTGGATCTATTTATTAGCTGTCTTTCTATTACCTTTTACTGTGATTCCAGCCTCCTACAAAATAATTACTTCAAGAAGCCAGGATAATCGATATTTTCTTGTGGATACTGCCAGACTTGCCCTTCCTGGACATGTTGGGACTGAGCTGCTTTTGAGACCATAACCCAAAGCCAAGAGGTCCTATTTGGCTTCTTCCTACCGACCACAGCAGGACAACAGGGGATGGAAGGCACGGGATGGGGAATGTCCAGCAGTTCCCAAAGTCAAAACCCCAAGGATGCTGCTACATTTCTGCTGACCTTCAGTGGTGATTCCTCCCTTTGTTGCTTCCCCTGAGGTCTCTTTCCGCACCTTGTAATTCTGGACCCAACTGCTTCTGCTAAGGTGCAGACTCTCTTTCCCACGTCTGGTGCCTGTCAGCCAAGTCCTGCACAGGAGGGACCGAACCTGCCACAGCCTTCACATCAGCATGACTCAGGGCTCTCCCTTTTTTTTCTTCCCTTCATACTATAGTGTCACCTTTTCACCAGCATTGGAAGGGCACAGGTATGAACTCAGAGAGCAGCTCAGACACATGGGCATCACTGGATATTTTGCTTCTTTTGCCTAGGTGGGGTTTGGGTTGTCCCAAATAAGCATGAGGGTTGCACATGGAGAGGTCAGCAGCAACACGGACCACTCACTGGGAAGTCGTCAAGCTGCTGGGGATTTCTTTTTCTCTTCTATACAGAAATATCAGTCTGAGTGGGGGATCTGAGGACCCTGTCCTGTGCAGCTCCCACATTTTCTTTGGGGGGGAAAAACCAGTGATTCACTCTACTGCCCCAAAGCACAACCCTCTTTCCATCCCCCTTCGCCTGGAGGGTGCCGCCTGACCCACATTTTGCATTAATCCAGCTTTGCTCATGTCCACCTCCGATGCCTGCTTGGGTGTGCACTCTGTGCCACCACCCAAGGAGCTGCTTTTAACACTCTGCCTCAGTGAGCAGCCCGGAGGAGCTTGGCTTTTGACATCTTTCCAGCCATGAAGAACGCAATCGTGATGTGGCGGGAGATGTGCTGTCATGGACAGAGGGTGAATCAAGAAAGCACTCAAGTGCCAGTGCTACCTGCCAGCTTATTCAGAGAGCTGCTATGGGAAAGAAAGAAGTTCTTACTGGTCTGAGAAAGGGATTCATCTTCTTTGTCAAAGCTTCTTGGTTATGTCTCAGAGTGGCAAAAGGGAGCTTGGTGTCTGTGGACACTTAGCTTTGGACCATGTGACCAAGGTGGCTGGGAGATGCTCTGACTGACACCAGCCAGTTTGCTCAGACCTCCCAGTCCCTTCCAGCTCAATGGAATGTTAAAAGTGCCCTTGTTATGGCCTCTCATCAGCAACACAACCAGAGGAGGTGGCAGAGGGACTATCTCTATAGTCTCTACTCACCGCCTCCATGCAGCACGGCCACCATGATGGATGGGAACCACGATGTCTCGCTGTTGCTGGCCTGGAACTCAAGCTGGAGGTCCGTGAAGAAGACGCCGATGCAGGCGGGGAAGCCCAGCGTCAGCCCCTGCAGCAACACCGCGGCGAGCAGGACCATCCATGCCCATCCCTGATCCTGGGGCTTGGCAGCTTCGCGGGCTGCTGTTTTTCCCTGTGACATGATGGTTTCTTTCTCCTCCTAAGATGGGCTGCTGAGGAAGGGAGTGCAGCTACCATACAGCCCTCAGCCCAGCGAACAGACCTACAGAGAAGAGCTGATGGTATTTCCGAGGCTCAGAGGCACCCGTGTGTTCCACACCTTTTGCAGCTGACACTCCAGACTTCTTGCTCTGCATTTCTTGTAGCACCTCCCTTCCTTCTCGCTACAGGATCCTGGCAACAGATTGCTTGTGAAACAACTGCCTGCCCTTTTTATATTTCACAAGACCGTGACCACAGCCAGGTACAGAACGGGACCACACCTCCTCTGAGGTATGAATTGGCCTTACCTAGATCCCGCCCTTATTTCCCCTTTCACCTGCTTTCATCATATGGAGTCCCCTTGCTGGCAATTGCTAAGGTCACTCAGTCCTCGTGCTGAGAAGAGAAGGAAAAACCCTGTAAATGCCAAGAAAAATAGAAACATGTAAAGCTTGCATGTCACGGCAGAGCTTGATGTGAACCTTTCAGGAAAAAGGCACCTACCCACAAAGTGCTAGTGGTGAAAAAACATTTTTAAAGCCATTAATTAATTAGGATCCAATGATCGCAAATAGGCTTTTGCTTTACAGCTATTTAGATCTAGAGCTTCTTCGGAGAGATCTCAGTTCTGATTTCTTTGAGACTGGCAGCATGAAACATATAGCAATAGCATTCCCCATTCTCTCCACATGAATAAAAATGCATTTAAAAAAATCCTTTGCAGCTGGATGAGCTCAAAGAAAGTGCCCACAGGGTCACTGCATAGTGCAATATTTATTTAGCACTCGAACAGTGGATTTTCCCTATAACAATAGCTACATTTGAGTTTCGTGTGCCGCTTTAAAAATTAATAATAACACTGAGTTTGCTCATCATTTCAAATACGCCATGGTGGCAGAAAGTTAGTTCCATACCTCAGGCCGAGACCAGAATTGGTCAAACGAAGGGCAGCGAGCGTGTGGCTGCGTGCGTGGCGTGGGCAGCGCATTCCCTGTGTGCGCAGCCCGCTCAGCTCAGATACTTCTGCTTCAGTAGCAACTAAAAGCTTTGATGAAGTCTTTTGCAATATTAACCTAGGCATCGCTTCTGCAAACAGGGCTCTAATGCCGGCTGGCTCACGGCCAGAAAAAAAAAAGCCAGGCCAGGAACGGAGGAGGCCCGTGGGAAGGGGCTCTGAGATGCAAATCACGGTGGTGGTGCTGCTCAGGACACTTTAATCCTTTGTCCACTTTAGCTGGGCGCAGATAATGCAACTAATTCAAGTGCTTGTCTCTCTGGTGTGAATTGGCTGGATGACAGCCTAAAACCTCCCCCCAGCAACAGCAAACCTGCAAAAAAAGGCAGAAGCACAGCTCCTCTCGGTTCCCAGCTGCCCTGTCCAACTCTTCAGTTTGTCCAGCAGAAGATTTCTGGCTCCCCTCACACCTCCCTGCACGCCTGCTCATTGGAGAGGACTCTCTAGCGCGACTACAGACCCCATGGCTTGCATCCACCCTCTGCCCCTGGCTGCAGGACAGCTTTTCCCCTGGGCAGCCTGACCTGCACAGTCCCTGAAAGGACCCTGGAGATGTGCTGCCGAGCATCGTGTGGGCTCCTCGCTGCCTTCAGCCTGTGTAAAGGTAAAGGACTGAGTTTGTTCCAGTGCTGGCTTGGATGGTTGTGCCACACCGAGCAACAGCAGCACCGAAAAACCTCGGTTTAACCCTTCCCAGGGTACCCAGATAGGATGGACAGTGCTAACATGGAGGGCTGGTGCGTTCTTTTGTGCTCCTCTGGGCTTGATGTTCTCGGACAACCTGTGCCTGGTGTTGAGTCGTGAACATGAGCGACCAGGGCCATCTGTGAAACACAGGCAAATATTCACACAGACACGATCATCTTGTGCCAACAGTGTTAGGAACAGGATTGAAGTTCACAGCAATAGCCACACCTGGGTGCCCTCTGCAAACAGTGAGCTTTTGTTGGGAGCAGGTGAACTGGTGCAAAGGTGCTTCCCTTTACCAGCCTGTGCAATTCCTGTGGACAGACAGGTGTCCTGGATGGGACAAGGGGGAGCAAGCTGCTGGTATCAGTCGTTCTTTCCAGCTGCTCTCTACCAGTCACTGTCTGCCCTGATGAGCTGATTGATGACCTCGCTCAGGTCTGGATGTTTATTTTTCTCCCAGTGACCCCCAAGACACCAGCATTCAAACCTGCTTGGATTTCCCTAGCTGTGATGGAGCAGCCCTAGTAGTTGTTGTTTATGGCAGCAGGCCAGAAGTCCTCACACAGTGATTCTCCCGTGCCTCAGTTTCCCTTGGTTGTGATGGGGGACAAGGAGCTGCTGGGATGAGGGCACTCAGCAGGGCTGCTGGCTGCTCCCTGCAAGGACAGGCAACTCTTTATGCTGAGAAACACAAGGCTCTGGGGCATTTATGTGATTGACCTCCTGGGAAGACTTTTCTATTTAGCCTGTAAATGGTGATGATATCCATGTACTGTCCTCAGGAAGAGCTTGCAGCTGGTGGGTACCTCTGTGGGGAGAAGAGCAGCCCACTTCTCCCTGCAGCCACCCAAAAGCAGGGTCCAGGGGGAAAGTCAGGAGAGCGGCTGATGGGGGTTGCAGAACTGCTGCCCCCAGAGATGGGGCTTGGGGGGGCGTTCAGAGACCAGACGATGCCTGTGGCTTGGGAGCAGGGATGGAAACGGAGAAGAAAGTGTCTTGTTCATGGTACGTTAGGTCTCAGCGTCCTCCTGCTGCCCCCGCTCAGCCCTGGCGTGTGCTGGACATGTACTTTATGAATGTGTAAAATAGGCTGCATGCACAGAAGTGAGATGTTTACTGTAAACCAGTGAGGTGGTAAACTGTTTTTTTTTGGGTCACTCAGTGCTTTTTAAGGGTAAGAAAGCCAAGTATTCCTCTTGATAAATACCTTTATAGGTGACTTTTAAAGTACCTTTTCATCCTGAGATCTTGGCTTGCTTTGCCATCCCAGGTAGGTTGTATTATATCCCAAGCTGACTTTCCAAGGTCACTCAGTCAGTTGACAGCAGAGGATCCAGATCCAGCTCCTTTTAAAGCGTTGACCCAAGTGGTGCAGCCTGGCCCAGCGCCATGGGCTTGTGACTGCAGATGTCACTTGCCAGCAGTCGCTCGCAGTGACTGGGGACGGGACTGAAGGGACAGCTGTGCCTGGGGCAGGGTGGAGGTGGCGGCAAATCCCCTGCTCTGTGCGTGTCCTTGCCGGCACATCATGGCTCTGTGAGCCAGTCCCAAGATCAGGAGCCTCAGCAGCAGTTTTGGGGCAGACTGTGTGTCTGGAAACCAAAGTGCAAATGCCTCAGAGCTTGCAAATCACTTTTGAGACTACTTGAATTTGTTCCAGAGATCCAGTTTAGCAAATCGTCTGACAGATTGGATCTCACAGAGGAAGTAGGGGAAGGTGTTTGGTTTTGGGTTATGGGTTTTTTTAAAAGCAAGAGAAACTGACATTTCAGCTGTGGGACTGCAGGGCAGTTTGGGGCGGGGAGCTATTCCTGCTCCAGGTTCAGTCCCAAATTAAGCTCCTGCTCTGATCCTTCCCTTGAACCCAGACAGACCCAGTGGAAACTGAGCTCTCAGAGCACCTGAAAACAGATCCTGGCCTGAGACTGGGACAGGATCTGAACAGCCCTGGCAAACCCCCTAGGGACCAGCTCTGCTGGTGCTGAGAAAACGGGACTGTGCCAAGGATGGGGGAAGTGCTGGTTTATCTTGAGTTTCCCAAGCAGTTCCCATAGCATCGCTCCCATAGTGTTGCTCCCACATCCTCGCCCTGTAAAGGGCATCAGGGTCATGGCTGCACTAATAGTTTTTAATTTGCCTGACCAGCCTCATATGGGGCCTCCTCCCACACCACCCTATTTGTTCCCCAGCTGCACTTAAGCCGGGCTCCTTGCCTACTTAAGTCTTTGATCTGTCTCACCACTGTTTTCTGCTCTCCTGGGTTGTCCTTGGATCTGCCTGGTTATTTTGTGCTCATCAATCACCAATAACGTAGCTGTAACATCAGGTGAGAAATGCCACTTCTGGGACTAGGTTTAAAGACCATTAGCTGGTGCTGGGGATAACACTGCTTGGTGCAGAGGATGGGAAATGGCGGTTGAGGAGGCAGCTGGCACCAGAGCATGCACTGACAGCTCTGACGAGCTCACAGGAATCCAGCAAGATGTGGCTTGTCCCTGCTTTTTATCCAGGTGGCAAATCTCTGGCTGGCAGGTGATTGCAAATGGTTTGTGTGCAAGCTGGCCCTTGCCCTCCCCACTGCCACTGTTCCCCCTGGTTGCTGCCTGTGGTTTTCCCAGAGCCGGTGCTTTGTGCAGGAGGTGGGGAGGTCAGTGCCCAGAAAAGCAGCTTTACGTAGGGCAATGGGGATGGCTCTGGAGAGAGTCTGAGAAAGGTGTGCTGGTGTAAATTCATGGTGGAGGTGGCTTTGGAAGTGTCTCTGGCTCACTGTCTGACATCTTGCCCTGTACTGTGGGTTTGTGTCACCCTGGGAGCAGGGTAGAGGTGGGGACTGATACCACAGGGCTACCCAAATGGATGGAAGTCTCTGCTAGGAACGGGGCTGAGGTTACTGACAATGCCTGGAAGCTGCTGGTGCTTTTCCTCCAGCAATTTCCTGCATTTGTGAAGGTGAAGAGGGTGCTGTGTTCCCTGAAAAGTGGGGCTTTTGAAGAAACAGTTACCTCACATCATTAGCTGCATGAAAACTCTACCCAGTAGATGAGGACGTGGGACAGAGAGGGGGCAAGGAGCTGTGCTGCAGGCATGGGTGAGTCCAACCCTGCTGCAGCCCATCTTTACCCTGGGGACCCCTACATCTTTACCCCTACATCTTTACCCCTACATCTGGGGACCCTAAGCAGTGTCTAGCAGCCGTTTCCCCTCTAACAGATCTTATCTACCAAGCTCTTGATTGTCATTTATCTTGGCTTTTATTAATGAGGAATAAGAAACTT